ACTCTGGTAAGGTTTTGGGGGACCTGAAGCTTATAAAGGACCCTCTTAAAAAGCAAAACTAGATCCAAACTTGTACAAATAGAATGATAAAGGTTACAACAACTACGGAAGCCTTGGATGCAGATCCCTCTTTTTCTGAGATCCCTTTTGGGCAAATTAGGAGCAGGCTTTTGCACCCTTACAGTTCTGAGGAGAAGCAGGGCCATGCAGAAGTTATGTTGGTACATAGTACATCCATAAATGTTAGCAGTTATTATTAGTAGCAGTATTAATGAAAAAACACAGCTGTGTTCAAATTTCATTTCAGCCTCTTGTGTGGCTCTGGAAGATTTTTTTCACTCTTTCTGAACCTCTTCCATCACCTGTAAAGGAGAAGGTAGTTATTGTGAACGTTAGATGAGGTAACCTGTGCAGCGCCTGGTACAGGGCTTGGCTAGTTATGTGCTCCGTCCTGAGTATTATCACTGCCACCAACAGTAAAGAAGTTGGGGACTATCTTTCAGGCCATCATTTCAAGCTTAATCTGGAAGAGTTGATCTATAGGACTTCTGAAACACAATGGCCACACTACCTTCCCAATGTGCCAGAAACCCAGAAAAAGCAGTATCCCCTGTTAGAGAGTAATATGCAATCCTGATTAAAATGACAAATTATCCCCAAAGACCTACTTAAGTAATAGTAGAGAAACTGAAAAGGCATAATAATCCCAAAAGGGGAGCAGGAGAGAAAAAAACAAATAGACAAAAGATATCAACAACTTTGGATGAAGGGAAGCAGATGGCGGAGTGGTCTCCAGATAGTAGATGAGAGAAACTACACCCTAGGTGCCCAGGAAGAGGGGGATACACATGAGAAGTGGGCTAATTCCTTTATTAGGAAGGCAAGGGTAAGACATGGGGCTGAGAACTGGGGGGGCTGGTTGAAAGTAAGAGCACATGACGTGAGTGGAGCCCACTTCCCTTTCTTACCTTCTGGCAGCCAGGGGACCACCTATGCAACCTCCCCTACAACACCCCCCCACACACACACACACACGCATGCACACACACACACACACAGTTTACGAGAACTCTGAAAGGGATGTGATCCCAACTGAGTACACACCACAGGAGAAGACTCCGAAATGAAAGTGGAGATTATGCTGCAGTCTGCAATTCTCCCTCACCTCCCAGAGTGCCAACAGGCTGGCACATACCAGGGGATTCCTCCCCAGAGAAGTGATCAACCCAGGAGAAAAAGTCTCCATATACTGGCATTGGACAAAGAAGCGAGGGTTCCTCCAAGTGAACTGTAGGCTCCCCGCTCCGTCCAAGTAGAAACTCCTCATTCAGTGAGTCCCAACCACACAGAGGGGGCTCCTAGCTGACTGTGAGTGTGTGTATCTTAAGTATGAAAAAATAGTCAAGAACCATCAAACATCTGAGAAAGACATCTACTAAGTAAGCTAAGAGATCCATGAAATAAACTTGGACAAAGAACTATAATTAATAACCTCGACAAGATCAGATACCGCATCTTATAATACAGGGACAGAATGCACTTTTTAAAAGGCCTCGTGGATACTAAAATGTGATAGAAATTTAATGAGAAAAAGAAAAACTTTTGATAGAAAATAAAAATTAAGGAAATCAAATAAAAGTAAAAAGAAGAGATAGAAGTTAGTAGAGAAACTATAAAAGACTTAGAGGATCAGTCTAAGACATCTAATATCTAAACAGGACTTTCAAAAAGGAAAATAGTACAAAATAAGTTATTCAAAAATTAATACAAAAAAAATTTTTAATAGAATTGGAGAGAAAATTTCTAGATTGAAAGGGCCCACTGAATGTCCTTCGAATAAATGAATGGAAAAAAAAAATCTATACCATGATTCATCATTATGAAATTTTGGAGCAGATAGGCTAACAAGAAGCCCTAAAATCTTCTGGAGAGAAAAATCAGCTTAAAAAATTGAAAATCAGAACTTTAAATTTCTCAACAGCAACATCAGAAGCTAGAATGAAGAAGTCTTCAAAATTCGACAGGCAGATTATTTTCAATTTAGGATTGAAATTATTGGCCAAATTATTGATCAATTCAGAGGAAGAACAAAGACATTTCTAGACATAAAGTCTCTAAACACTACTCACAAACTCTTTCTTAGGAAGCTGGTGGACTGCTTCCAAATCTTCCAGTCCACCAGCTTCTTTAGAAAGAGTTTATCAGTAGATGAGTGGATAAAAACGCTGTGGTACATTTGCACCAAGGAATACTACTCTGCCATTAAAAAGAAGGAAATGTTGCCTTTTTGACAAACATGGATGTACCTAGAGAGTATTACGCTAAGTGAAATAAGCCAGTCAGAGAAAGACAAATATCATATGATTTCACTTATATGCGGAATTTAATGAACAAAACAAACAAACAAAATAAGAACAGATTCATAGATACAGAAAACATATACCTGCCAGAGGCGACAGGGTTGGGGGGGGGGGGCGCTAATAAAAAAGGGGAAGACATCAAGCAAAAAAGCAAAACTTCCGACACACAAATAGTATTGGGAAAAGGGAGTGGGGGAGGTAGAAGAGGGTAAAGGGGGGATAAGTGACAGAAAGAGACTTCACTTGGGATGGTGAACACACAATACAATATACAGATGATATAAAATTGTACACCTGAAACCTATAGAATTTTATTAACCATTGTCACCCCAAAAAAGTCAATAAAAAAATTTTTTTAAAGCTTGTGGAAAGTGTGGTCCAATAAAACAAGGAAATAAACATGAAAGAGGAAAACGTGGTATACAGAAAATAGGGATTTCAACATGGGAGAGGGGTGAAGGGAGTTCTAGGATGATAGATGGGCCTTTGGACGCAGGAACTACCAGTGAGGTGTGAGGAGGAGGGCCTTAGGGGAAAGGCCCCAAGACTACAAAAGGAAGTGACACATCATCTCACCATCCTGACAGACCATTTAGAGAAAAAGTTCCTCAGTACTCAGGACATCTAAGGATACATTTAGAAAAAATTTCTAAGTTTCAATAAGTTAAAAGCTATACAACAGATAAAAATGAGGTCATTATTAATTCAATATAGTGTGTGAAAGAAACAGAAGTACAATGCACTATTAGCCCCGCAGCAAACCATATTTATGTAGCCATAAAAATGTAAATACTGATTAACGCTGTTGCTGACATGTATTCAGGGGAAGAGAGTTAAATCCTCATCTACCATAATTAGCAATTATTAATGTCTAAAATGAAAGACACTAAGAAATAAGGGGATATGCATATTATAAAAGGAAAGGGCATACACATCAGAAAAATCAGCTAAAAAGTTATGTGTCTGCCTTTGTGATGGGGGAAGATGGTGCTGCATTTTGATATGCTTTACTTTTTTTGCATTACTTGGCTAAAATATATTTTGTTTAAAGCAAAGCCAAAAATAATCAGTATAGCATTTTTTCAGAAATGACATTTCTTGACTCATTCCAGTCAATATCCATTACAAGGCATTGCCCTTGCTTATCACCACGAGTCACCTAGTCCATGGGGCTACAGAACTGCTCCTTCCAGAGGAGAGACTAGGACGGGAGCGTTCCAGAGCCAAGGGGAGGCTAGGATGGGAGCTGTGTGAGGCAAGTTACCTGGGTTCTCTTTGTCTTTTTTTCTTTCTTCTGTATAAGGACCCCAGTAAGAATCCCCTCCTATGAGGCTGTTGGAGGACTGAATAGATGATGCTTAGCAGAGTCTCTGGCTCAGGAGCTCTTACTAAAGGGGTCTTTATTATTACCACTCTCCTTCCGTCTCAGGGTGAAAACTTGCATTAAGGTCTGGAACTAGCAGGACCCAGAGCTTTGGACTTCAGGTTCTGCTTTGAGAGCGTGTGATGGCTACACTGAGTTGTCGCCCCAGTAGCTTAGATCAAGAGGACTAGCCACTTCTGAGGCCCCAGGATATAGTCCCCTCTCCCCCCACCCCACCCCACCCCCAAATGGTTTTCCATCATCTCTTGCTAGTTAGCAAATTGGGTTTACTTCCAAATTCTCCCACTGGGTATCTTACGCGTTCTCTCTACTTGGAAATACTTCTCAGCAAACTAAAACTGACTGAACTTTTTGTAAAATGAAGTTCAGGATATCTCTTTTGGAACCTCTATTTTTCCCTTGAAATTCCAGATCAGAATTGCAAAAAGGCCAGAGTGGGGCCAGTGGGAGTAGAAGCAATGGGTTGGCAAAAACTTCCTTTGTGCCTGTATTCAAGGTCTGTGAAATGCAATGCTGAGGGCCAGTGCACCATTTCCCTGATGGCAGAGGCTTCTTCACACCGGGGAGGTGTGCGGTGGATTTAGTCTGGCGCCTATCAATACGCAGCCAGCTGCGCAGGGTGCGGTCCCTGCGAGCTACTCTGGACCCTCCAAACCTGCCCACCAGAGTCCTCGGCGTTGGCTGTGGACTCTTCATCTGCCCTGGCTGCTCTCTACAGGCTCGAGAACCAGTGTAAGCCTCAGGCCCACAGGCTTGGGGGGCCAGGTGGGCGGGGCTTGCTGCTATCAGCTCAGCCCCTCAGGCTGAGTGGTAAGGTCTAAAGGACAGACAGACAGACTGATCCTTCTAAACACAGCCTGGGTTGCCACAAAGTCCCCAAACCACAGCTCTCGTGTAGTGTTTGGGTCTGGTAGTTACAGGCTATTTATTCATTCGTGTGTGTGTGTGTGTGTGTGTGTGTGTGTGTGACTGTGGCTTTCTGGTTGGCGATCTAGACTCTTACCTAGAGATTCCTGAAGGTTTCAAAGCACCCAGAGGGACCACCCGCAAGTTTTCCTTTTTTGAGAGCTATTTAACCATCACCTGCCAATTGAAGTCAGTGGTTTCTCAAAGTGGACAGATTCTTACTGTCCTGAAGCCATAGGTGACCATTCATAAACTGGATCCTCGAATCTCAAGTATGTATGACACATCAGGCAGTATCACTACCCTCCGTGAATTATTTATTTTCTTTCTTTTTTTTTAAAGCAGCCAGCAGGGACCCAGGGCTAATGAAGCAAGTCTGCTTCATAACCAGGTAGCCAGGGTTCCCTCGAAAGAATCTCCTGTGCAGTGACTGGCTGCTCTGAAGATCGGCCTGAGGGCCCCCACAGGGGTGCCAAGTGGAAGAGAAACACCAGCCCACGGAGAAAGGCTGCGACAGTGCCTCCGCTATCAGAACCCAGGTCTCCTGCTTTGGTGAGTGTCATCCTCTCCAACTCCTGGGAGAGGGGTTGTGGTCCTGTGCTCACCGAACCCTCGCGCCCCCTCCAACCACAGAGCCTGAGCCCCCCCCCCACCCCCGCCCCAGTGTTTCTGTTCATTCCCACTCGGCGAAGGAGTCACCGTGATGGGGAACATAAATTAGAACTAAATTAGACTGAGACTCAGAGTCCTGGAAGCATGACTGCCCATGAGCATTACTGACAGTTTCATGTCTCCACGGCCTGGGGTGCGGGTTGGGGGCCTCCCACATCAGGAACCCACAATCGGGCTAATCCGTGCACAGGACAGAAATTTGGATCTCCAGAGGCCTGACTCTGCTAGGGAAGAGAGTCACTTCCTCCATGCTGTGTCCACCTCTAAGGAAAAAAAAATCACTTATGCACAGAATATGCTCAAGTTGTTAAAACGCTCTTCCTTCACTCTTTCCCCTTGCTTACCCGGAAGAAATCCAAATGAGAAAACTTTAGATGAATCAACAGAGAAGAACAACAGATCAACGTGGGGCTAATATCAGTAGCAGGGAAGACCAATTAACAAATCCCTGCATTGTGCTGTTTACTCTCCTATTCCTAAGGTTAATTATGCGATCAAGTAACAGCTTTTGCCTTGATTACAGGGCCCTCAGGAAATAAAAGCGTGTTTCCACTTTACAAGTGTGTTTGCATTTCGGTCCTGCATTGGTAGCAGGTACTGGGCTCAGCAAATATTGCCTTACACACGGTTATCATCAAAGGAGAGGGTCTTAATTTAAAGAGCTTCGAGACTAGATGAGTCAACAGAAGCATAATTCGAACAAGTGCTCACACCCACCTACACATCTTCTCTCCCTGCCCTGGACTGCTGTCCATTCTTTCCAGGTGCTGTGGCCTGGAAAATGCCCAATGGCAGGTCTTCTCCCGTGAGTTCCTGTTGGGAAGAATCAGTAAGATTCGCTGCATGGCCTTACACACATGTAAAGAAACAAAAAACGTCCCCTGCGTTGCCAGGGGACATTCTCAGAAAGGTCATGGCCCCTTACATGCTTTGAGGGATATCCTTATGGCAGGCGCCTCAAGTGAATTAGCTCAAAAAATGTTCACAATAGGGGTAGATGCTATCATTATCATCATCTCTCCGTTACAGGTGGGGAAGGGCATAGAGAGACTGAGATTATGCATACTGCCCCCGCCCATAGCAGCCCGTCAGAGCCGGATTTGAACTCAGGAGTCTGGCTCCAACGGCTGCATATTAACTAACTGCTGGGTGTTGTGCTTCTCCCTTTGGGGCCTGACTTGGGTGCACAATGTTAGATAGTGGGTTCTTTTAACACATTGGAGAAGGACACCTAGAAGGTATATTGTGCCATTTGTAAGCTTCAAGTGAGGTGTACAAGCTACCTCTGCTGCCTGCAATCACTTCTGAGCAGCCTGCCTCAAAGTAATGAAACAGAATACACTTTGGTGCCCTGGGTGCGGTGGCTCCATTGGGCGTCATCCCATGTACCAAAAGGTTGCCAGTTGGATTCCAGGCCAGGGCACATGGCCAAGTTTCAGGCTCAACCCCCTGTAAGGGACATGCAGGACGTAGCCAATAGATGTTTCCTCTCACATTGATGTTTCTCTGTCTCTCTCACTCTCCCTCCCTCTCTCTAAAAAAAAAAAAATTAAAAATCTTTCTTAAAAAGAATATGTATTGGTGTCTTTGAGGGCTGCTGAACGTGTTCCAGAGATGTGACCAGACACCTGTGAGGTTGAGTCCTCCGTGCCCTGCTGGAGCTCTGGGCTGGTCCAGGTCAGGCACCCAGTGAGTGCTTACTGAGGTTGGGTCCAACTTATGGCAACACAGGCATGCCTGGAGGGATGCCCACCTAACTGGCAACATGGATAAATGAAAAATGGGTTCGTGGCTTTAACAAGGACTCATCACAGACTTCTCTGGATGAAGGTCAATGTATCAAATTCATTTCATATCTTCCTCTTGACAAGAGCGCCTACCGAGAACGGGAGGCAGCAGGTGCAGCAGCTGCGTGTTCAGGCCACAGAGGCTGGAATGAGTCACCCTCCCAGGCTCTGCCACTTTCAGCCAGGCCACCTCAGGTCCTCTCCTCACCCTCCCTGCATGTCACTGGCCTCATCGGTAAAAGAGTATCTACCGCATAGGTTGTAATGAAGACGAAGTCAGACAATCCAGGTAAAGGGACGCAGAGTGTGGTCCTGGGACCACCAGCAGCAGCCTCACCCTCACGGGGGAGCTGCTGGGAGAGGCAGGCTCTCAGGTCCCGCCAGACCTGCCGAATCAGCATTGGTCGTTAGTCCTCCAGGCCCTTCACCTTCCTCTCAAATGGTCCTTCTCACTGCACTGTGGGAAGTCATAGAAAAGTGAATCTCATAATCACTATTAGCCCTGAGATCAGCGGCCATCGAAGTGCCTGACCTCCTGTTAAAATACCATAAACTGAGATACTTGAGAAATGGAGCCGGAGCTGCCGTCCCAGAGGAACTGCCGCGCCTCCGTCTGTGGGATGTGAAAACAGGTCAAAACAACCTTTGGACTGGGGCTCAAGCAACATTGTGCCCCAAAGATCTGTTTGCAAAGAGAGCAAGAAAGCAGTTGTAAGTGATCACTGCTGGACTGGAAATTAAAAGCGCCGTGTGGGATCAGCATCACTAGGCTAGCTTGTCTGCACCAATAGAACCCTTCCTTCTACGGATGTAACTGCGCCCCTTCCCTTCTCATAAAGACCCATCGCCGTTATTTCCTAACCGGAGCACTATCCGGGCTTCTGTCTGAGTCAGTGCGTTCTGAAGACCTATTCTTTTTTTCTTTTAAATAATCCCCACCTGAGGACATGTTTTTATTGATTTTAGACAGAGAGGAAGAGAGAGGAAGGGAGGGTGGGAGGGAGAGATAGATAGATAGATAGAGAGAGAGAGAGAGAGAGAGAGAAACATTGATCTGTTGCCTCCTCCCAGGGATCAAACCTGCAACCCGGGTCTGTGCCCTCACCAGCACTGAACCTATGATGCCATGGTGCATGGGGCGACACTCCAGCCAACTGAGCCACGCTGCCTAGGGCCTGAATAGCTATTCTGATTGAGCTCAAATGCATGCGTGTTGCCTCTCACCTTGAAAGGCCTTGAAGTTTTAGGTTAACCTCAGCATCACCCTTCCAGGAGTAAAGTGATACGAGGGGAGAACCTGGAAATGAGGGCCGGGCCCAGGTCGACTCCCCTCCCCTGTCTCCCCGTCCCTCCTCTAAATTCTCAGAGAGGCAGGGAGAGCACTTGAAGCAAGTAAGAGCCTCTCTGGGGAAACCAAAGTTGGGACAACAAACAGCCACAAAAAGTGTGGCTTTTGCAACAGGCAGTGATGGGAGCTGGCAAGTCACGCCTGGTACCGGCACTAAGAAAACCTTTAAAAATTATTATTATTACTTTTAGCACAACCCAAGTCTGCTGCCAGATCGTGGCTTTTCTGTCCAGTGTACAGTTACAGCTCAGAAGTGACTGGCAGGCAGTAAAGAGCCCCTCCCCCTCAGAAGTCTGTTTGGAACGCAGAGGCTCTGCCGACGAGTGTTGGGAGAGAGGTTTGACTGAGTATTCAATCTCCCAGGTACTTCGACATTTTACAGCGAGAAATGATGTACATTAAGCTGTAAACAAGGACATAAAGGAAGACGTAATTAGTGTCCGGAAGCCTTGTACCACTGTTAGATGAGGTCTGATACCTCAGGATTAGTTCCACGCAGGAAGGAAAAGTATACAGCTGCGTATGCGGGCTGCCGAGAATGTGTCTTATCGCACTCAATTTACAAGGAAATGAAGCAGAAGTCTGCAAGACCGCATTCAAGCTTTAATTTTCCTTCTGGGTTTCCCCTCCATTGTATCTGTAGAGGACCCCGGAATGGTTTGATAAGTAGAGCTTTTGCCAGTCAGTGAATAAGAAAGCTCTTATCGGAAGGGTCACACATCAGAAGGTCCTGGGAGTTCAGGGGACGGGTGGGCACAGTGCCCTCCAGCAGAACAGATTTGGAGAAAAAACATTGCTCGCTGTCCCCCAACCAGCCGCCCCGCTGTCACGTGGTTTTCAGTGACCTGATGCTAACCCTGGGCCTGCCTCACCGGCCTGGGTTCCAGGCCCAACTGTTGGGAAATGAAGAAACTGAACTCCCAGAGGAGGGGGAGAAGGGATGAAACCCCAGGGCTCCCTCCCGCCTGTAAAACTCGCCTTCCCAGCAGCTGAGCTGCAAGTCCTGGAGGGAGCCATGCCGAGTCTCTAAGACGGTCATGCCCCGCCCAATTCCAAGGAGTTCTGGAAGCCAGGGCCGTGAAGGACAGAGACTTGGGACGTGGTTTCTGAGGGGAGCGGCATGTGCAGAGGAGCGGAGGCGGCGGTGTTTTGGGAAAGCAGGAGAGGAGGATCCCAAGGAGAGAAGGAGTGGAAAGTGGTCCTGGTCACCCCCAGTGCTGGGCTGTGAGGAGTGAGCTCTCCTCTTCCCACCCCGCTGGAGTCAAGGACCCCGGAATCGCCCTGAGCCCTGGGTGTGGGGACTGCAGCCATGGGGAGCCTGGAAGGGCACGGCGCAAACCAGTCCTGAAATGAACCCCCTGCTGCCAGCCCGTGTCCCCTGCCCAGAGGACAGCAGGGACATTCCTGGGACACTCTCCCAGGCAGGAGGGAGCGGTCCTGACACCAGGCTCCGTCTCCTTGGCTCCCTGTGCTGCGGCTGGTGCCTTTGGAAGAGTGGGGGCCTTTGGGAAAGTGGGGTCCCCGGGCCAGGTTACACAAAGCAGTTCTCTCTGAAGCCGTCAGCTCGAGATGGCATGAATGCACACCTGCCTTCCAGCCAGGCCTCCTCCCAAAAGCACCGTCCAGTGCTTTCTGTTGTGTGTGTGCTCTATGAAGTGCACATTTTACATTTAATTTTCTCAGTGGCTCTTAAGAATTTCGGAGCCGCTTGTTGAAACCTAGATAAGGAAGGAGGAGAGGGAATGAGGCAGAGACATGGAGCAAGTGACAGGTCCTCTCCCCGACGCTGTGAGTGAGGCCTGGCAAACCTCCCCCAGCAGCCATCCTGCCGGAGAACAGGGGCACCCACACACCGGGCTGCTTCCTGGGCTGGGTCTGTCCATGCTGGCTCCTCACCAGCCAATATTTCCGAAAGGCCCTTCTCGGGCGGCGGGTGAAGGCACTCAAAGTGCTGTCCTGGGCATCAGCCGGGCAGCTGACCGTCATATTCTGTAGAAGGACCGGGTCCCGCTGCCCTGGGTGAGGGCCGGGGCCTGTGGGAGCAAGCACAGCAGCACCAGGCGACTTGGGAGAAGCTCACCTCGCAGGAGGACCCCTCCCCGGGGACCGCCAGGGGAGCCACTGCCCCAGGAGTCCCCTCCAGAGAGAGACGGTCAGAGCCGCAGAGGGGGCAATGGGCCTTGGACATAGAGACGCCACCTGTCCTGAGATTTCCAGGACCATCCTGATTCTTTTCGATAAAGTTGTACGGCGTTTCTGCTCTAACATCTTATGTACATGGCTAAACACCCCGAGCTCTACAGAATGGCGTGCTAAAAAGTAATAGGGCTTATGGGGAAAATAGAGCTGTGCAGTCCATAAAAAGCTGTGCGATTTAGTAACCAGAGCGCTAGCCGGAGCTGTCACAGCCCCAATAAAACCC